ATTCAGAGCACTTCTCAGGACTAGTCACAAGACACAACCCACAGCAGCTGTAAGGGTAGATGAGGTGAATAGGAAGTCCCTTCTCAGGGGTCCCTGTCAATCCCCTCTTATTTTGTAAACTTGCCAAAATGCTTGGGTTATGGAGTTCCTAAACAATGAACTTGGTTTGCTGAGAATTTGCAAGTATACTGAAATGATCTCTAATGATTGGCTTTTACACTAGGATAAATTTAAATTTGTGACATAAATCCTGGAAAATTTTCCCCTAAGCTGTGATTAGTGAAACTTGCTATTTGAGGTAAAAGCTCCTGGGACTGTAACTGATTTTATTTTAAGTTGTCTAATGGATCTTAATAATCCATCCATAATCAACAGTCAGTGATCCACCATCTGAGAGAAATGCCACAAGCTACTCAGAGAGAATGTGATTCAAGTAGAGGTCTGTATTGGGAAAAGCTGAGAGGACAATTTTAGTCTCAGTCTAAGATGGGATCCTCCTGGCTCAGTTTCCCCATTATGTTCCTTTGAAAAGGAGTGTTACCCACCTGCCTATTCCTGAGTCTGGCTATGAGGTGGAATTGATACTGCATGGTTGGAAAACTGTGAATTATCTGTTTTCTAAGTGTGTTCTCCCCCTCTCGCCCTCTCCCCCACCCCCGGTCATATTTGGTATAAATCTTTTCCCTGCTTTATCCTTTTATAGCAAATTTCTACAATCAGAGCAAGTAGTCTAGTGGTTAGGATTCAGTGCTTTCACTGCCACAGGCCAGCTTCAATTCTTCATCAGGGAACTAAAGTATGTTGCAGTCTAAGGATGCTGGGAACCCTGAAATGCAAGGGTACAAGGCATGAGTGTGCCTCAAAAGAATTTGACCACTCAAGCCTTCTTTCAGTTCAAGTAGTGAGTTTATTGCAATGCCAGACTCTTAGTGAGTCTACACATTTGATAAAAACAAGACTTTTATAGGGAAATGACTGGGAAGATCTGGATGTGATCTAGGGGTGGCAAGTAGCCTGGGGTGGTCTGGAGGTAGTAGAGAATGAAGCGCTGGGCTGGGAGTGTGTGTGGCACAATGAAAGGACAGTTGAAAGGATTATTGACTGGGATGGGCAATGCCTCAGGTGAATCTGGGCTCCTGAAATTTTGGGAAAATTCAAAGACTGAGGGTCTTTTCTTTTTGGGGGTCTATCAGCACCGTCAGTCACTCAGACTTGCAACACAGGTGTCATCTTTGATTCCTCCCTCTCTCTCAACCGTATCATATCAACTGTCTCGCCAAATCCTGTCAATTCCACCTTTATAACATCTTTTGTATATGTCCCTCGTCTTCTCTGATGCTACCACCACTCTAGTTCAGGCTGGCCTTACCCATGACTGGACTATTGCAATGGCCTTCCAGCTGTTCTCTCTACCTCAAGCCTCTCTCCACTCTAGTCTTTTCTTTACTCTGTCTATACTTCACTCAGTGGTCAAAATGATCTTCCTTAAATACAAATCTTACCATCTCAGCTCTCACTCAATAAACTCCAGTGGCTCTTTATGATCCACAGGGTCAAATATAAAACTCTCTTAGCTTTCAAAGTTCTTCACAAACTGGCCTCCTCTAGCCTTTCCTGTCTTCTTACACATTACTCCCTTCCATGTTTTCAGTGATTCAAGGAGACTACCTTCCTTGATGTCCCTTGCACAACAAGACATAACATTTTCCAACTTTGAGCATTTTGACTGATGGTCCCCCATGGCTGGAATTTTCTCTCTTGCAGTATTTGCCTGCTGGCTTTTCTGCCTTCCTTCATGTCTCAGCTAAAAGCCCATATTTTACAAAAAGATTTTCCTGATCCCCCCTAATGCTAGTGCTTTCCCTCTGAGGTTATCTCCAATATATACTGTATATATTTTATTTGTACATAGTTAATGTTATCTTTCCTCCCCTTTTCCCTGTTGTATTGTAAGCTCCTTGAGGGCAGGGACTGCATTTTCATTTCTCTGGAATTCACTCCAGATGTCATTGATTGGACAACAATAGGTCCCTGCCCTTCCCAAGCATCACTTAATAGTTATTTTTTGGGCCCTCCAGGCTCAGAGTGAATGTAAATAGTTAACTGTTTCTCTTTTGGCCAACAACCCTGAGGGTCTTCCTCTCCCAGTTTGATTTTTTTTTAATTAAAGGGGCAATCCTTTGACTCACTTCTTAAAGAGGACTATTCTCTGAATGGGTGTTGCCTCACTCAAAGTGAGGACTTGAAAAGACCTTAGCATAAAAAGGCCAAGGTCTCCCACTGCATCCTCAGTCATCTCCAGTCATCCTGATCCATATCTGGCCACTGGACCCAGATGACCCAGGAGGAGAAAGTGAGGCTGGTGACTTTGCACTGCCCTCCCTCATTCAAATAAAATTCATTTGCAAGTCATCTTGTCCCTGATGTCATGGTCCTCTTCAAGAATGAAGGACAAACAGGATGTCCATCAATTGGGGAATGGCTGAACAAGTTGCGGTACATGAATGTAATGGAATACTATTGTGCTATAAGAAATGATGAACAGGCTGACTTCAGAAAAACCCGGAAAGACTTGTCTGGTCTGATGCTGAGTGAAGTGAGCAGAACCAGGAGACCATTGTACACAATAACAGCCATGCTGTGCGATGACTGATATTGATAAAGCTAACCCTTCACAGCAATACAAGGATCTAAGACATCTCCAAAGGCCTTGTGATGGAAATTGCTATCCACATCCAAAGAAAGAATTATGGAGTTCAAATGCAGATTGAAGCATGCTGTTTGCTATTTTTTTTCTTCTGTTGAGTTTTGTTTCCTCTTTCTGGTGGTTCCTCCTATTGGTTCTAATTCTTACTTACAACATCACTAATGTGAAAATATGTTTAATAGCAATGTATATGTATAGCCTATATCAGACTGTGTGCCATCTTGGGGAGGGGGTAAAGGGAGGGGGAGAAAAATTTTAAACTCAAAAGCATATGGAAGTGATTGTTGATAAATCAAAATAAATTAATTAAGAAAAAAAGAATGAAGTACAAACCACACAACCACAATCACACAATCCTCCTTTGCGTCCTATCCTAAATGCCTCTCAAGCTGACTTTACTATAGGGTTTGTTCAATATCTAGTTCATGTTTGTACATTTTAGTTATGAGGATATTATTAGAGACTTTATCAAATGTTTTGCTAAAATCAATATATGTCATGCCTCTGAATGTTATCTACTGAATAAGCAATCCTATAAAATTGAAGGTGACATTCTTCGTGAACCCAAGTTGTCTTCTAGTACCGTCTGTTTCACAATGTGTTCTAGGTTTTTTTTTTTCTTCTGGGAGAAGAAATCAGGCTTAATTGTCTGTAGTTTCTGGAATCCTTCTACTTTCCATCTTCCTTCTTCTATCTTTAAAAAGCAGAACAACATCTGCCTATACTTAGAATTCTATTTTATTAAAGGCTTTTGACTCTGTGACTTTGAAAATATATCTGCAGTTTCTGGCATGTAATTTGTTGAGGCCTAGAAACTTGCATGCATTTAATTTTAGTAGATATTTTCCAACTGCTCTCACATCTTGGTCTTTAATTCTGTTACTACGTTGTCTGCCCTTTTATATAATGAAGTTTAATGTGAGAAGGCTAGCAGTTGTACTTAAGAATACAGGCGAATCTTATTGCATATCATTTATGCTATTCTCATAGTGCTGTTAGTATATAAGGTGATTTTAATAAAGAATTACGTTTTTTTCTGGAAAAAAGTCGTAATTAGATCTGAACATTTATGGGTTTATCTGTTGCCTTTATCTGAATAAGTCTATCTATACTACTGTTGTTGAGTCATTTCAGTTGTGTCCAACTCTTCATAGCCCCATTTGGGTTTTTCTTTGCAAAGATACTGGAACAATTAGCCATTGCCTTCTCCAGCTCATTTTACAGATGAGGAAACTGAGGCAAACACAGTTAAGTACCTTGCCCAGGGTCATGCAGCTAATAAGTGTGTAAGGCCACATTTGAACTCAGGGAGAGGAATCTTCCCAACTCCAGGCCCATCACTCTATCCACTGTGCCACCTAGCTGCCTGTGTCCATTAGACTAGTGCTACTGTAAACAAGCACCACTGTCGACCTACTGGTAGCATAGAGATGAACTTTAGAGGACTCATGAGAGCTTAGGCTTGTTGAGAAGGAAGATGAGCAATTCACTCTCAAAATTCCAAGTGCCCAGAGTCCAAGTGCCCTATCTAGCATCCTAAGGATGAAGGAACTTGGTTTGAATCCTGATTATACTATTTAGTATCTGTATGAATTGGGGCAAATCAATGAACCTCTCTGGGCCTCAGTTTCCTAATCTAAGATCATTTCCAACTCTATGATCTAATGGTCTTCAGTAATGGTAAACATTATCGTTACTAGATTGTAGCAGACACTACATTTAGGCACATCTTATCTGGTTTTATATCTCCCTTAATGCCTAACACAGTGCCTTGCAAACATCAGGTATTTCTCTGATGATTATTGAATTAAATATTGCCAGTATATATAGCAGATACTTAAATACTTATCTATGATTTATCACGCAGAAAGTCATCTCATTTAAAGAGAATTACTGTCACTTTTGTGATTGTAATGAATATGACAGCTAAGCTTACTGACTGGTGAAATGGGTCATACTAATTTAGAATCAGTGAGTGACTAGGCCTCAGGGCTGTTGCCTAAATGCTCCTTAGTTACTAGAAGCATTAAGTGGAAGTAGCAATATTGAATGGAGTGAAGAGGGAGCTCAGAAGATGGAAGCATAGATCAGACTGCAGAACAACAGTTTCTTCTTCTCTTAGTTATTTGGTGGCATTGTCTCTGAATGTACTACCATCCCTGGCATGGAGATGGGAATACAATTCATATACTGTGAAATACTAGAAATAGGACAGAATTACTTTCCATCTGTAAGCGCTAAACACAAATGTGGGATTTGCATTCAAACATGACACACAATCAGGCCATTTTGTATATTAGCCTTTTAAGCATTTAATAAAACAACTCCTATATGATCATGACATAGACTGAGGATCAACATAACAATTAAAATAAGAGATATTTGCAAAAGGAAGTATTCACCTACCCAAAGGCCCAGCCTCACCCGTCGTGGAATCACTATTCTAATATGAACATTTCTTCTGGTGGCAAGCTTAAAACTGTGAGTTTCCAAATACATGGATTTATCAATCTGGTTCATTCTAAAAATGTTGGCCCTCTCCCTACTTAACACCAAGTTTTGAGACCATCAAAAGAAAAGAAAAAGAAAGCACAGGAGGAAGGCATGATCCTCCACACAGCCTATAAGTTAGCCTTTCCTAAGGGTGAAAGGTATCTGGAGAATCCTAGGACTTATACCCTTTGGATCTCTACTCAGGGACCCTCTGAAAAACATTTCAGTTGCTCTTGTTTGAGATAGTTGGGGAAGCCACCCTTTCAGAGGTGCTTTTAACTCAATTCCGTGGCTGAGAGTTGAACTCTGTACAAATGTTCTGGATTATCTTGGGGACAGACCTGTAGAGGTCATCAAACTCATCTACAAAGAAGGAGTGGTCCTTGGTAGGGTGAGTGGCAATCACTTCCAGTTCATCTTGAGCTGCCCAAGCGATTCCTATAGAATAGGTGATCACACCTGAGGGAAAAGAATTGAAAGGAGTTAAGAAGACCATTGGATGGAGTCTCTATGGCTGACCTTTAGCTAAGCACTCACTGCTAAGAATCAGCAATCCATCAGAAGGCTCACAAATCTAGGATTGGGGTTGAAAATCTCTTACTGGCAGAAACTATGTCTTCTCTAATGCTTCCTTCCGCCTACCAATATTGGTTTCACTTAAGTTAACTTTAAGCTGCTGTGAATTAAGTTGTTTGTAAATTGCCAGCCCTTTTTTTCCTCCCCCTTCTCAGTTTCCCATCTCTTGGGAGAAAGAAGTCATATCCTATTACCTCCTCAGTTCTTGAAGATATCCCCAAGTCTAATAAGCTGAGCATAAGGACATAATTGAGGTGTTGGCTTCTCTACATGTTGGCTTCTTCCTAGAGTCTTTCTCTCTCTTCAGGGACCTGAAAAGAGTCTGGATCCACATGTACCAGTTTTTGAGTCACTGGGAGGTATCAAGAACTTTAGTCACGACCTTCCTTCCCCTTTTTAGCATGGAGGTCTACTGCAATTTTCCCCTACCTAATATGTTGTTCTGTCAAGTGGATGGATACTACAGGTTGGAAGCCCAGGGTCATGGGACGATCCACCTTCTTTGACATCAAAGTTGTTATAATTAATTTAGGTGGCAGCAAGCAGCAGCAGCAGGGTTCCCAGCAATAGGAGAGTCTAGTCAAGGGTGGGAAAACTGCAGCCTCAAGGCCACATGTGGCCCTCTAGGTCCTCAAGTGTGGCCCTTTGATTGAATCCAAACTTCACAGAACAAATCCCACCCCTGGTAGTTCGTAGCTGTAATTTACAACTGGGCCTTTTTTAAGGCCAAAGCATTTCAACATTGCTTTGGACCATTCAGGTCCATTTTAAGAAATGAGTTACCAGAAGGACAACAAAACACATTCAGGTGAGGAAGGTAGCATAGTGAAATAGAAAAAAACCTTGGGTTAGCTGAGCAGGGGACTAAGCCTTACTGTGCCTTACGACATTGGGCAAGCTTCTAAGCCTCTCTGTGCCTCAGTTATCTTCGCTGGGTTGTACTCTATGATCTTCAAAATCCCTTCCAGATCTAACATTCTATAATTCTGTAGATGCAGGAGTTGGAAGAAACCTTAAATCAGGCATGTGCTGGTAAATGTTTAACAACCAGCTTTCCAGAACTTCAATCTGCATTATTAACATTTTCCATCACTTTCTTAGGTCTAGACAATCAATGAAATAATACATCAAGCCTTTATTTGTAGTGTTTGTCAGTTTCTGAGGTGAATCATCCACATTGAAAATTTAACAATTGGCTCTTCTGAGATGTATGAGCTGACTCCAGCATGCCTCTGACTGAAAGGTCATCTAGTCCAATCACCACTCCCTCACCTAATATAACAACCCTTCTTCTATGTGAGGATAAGGAAACAAGCATTTATTAAGTGCCCACTATATACCAGGTACGAAGTAAGTACCTTACAAATATTATCTCATTTAGTCTTCATAGCAACCCTAGAAGATAGGTGCCTAGCACACAGTAGGCACTTGATGTTTATCGACTGACTCATTAGCCCATTTTACAGCTGAAGAAACTGAGGCAGATGGGGGTTAAGTGACTTGCCTAGGGTCATACAGGATGGATTTGAATTCAGGCCTTCCTGACTCCAAGGCCTGAACTCTACTCAGTGTTATAAATAGCTGCCTCTAAATATAGAGTAATATTATTATGGATGACAGGGATTCATTCAGCCTGTGCTTGAATAACTGCCAGTAGTGAAAAGTTCTTTGGTTCATAGGTGGGAAAACAGATAGAGTTCTGGGCCTAGAGTCTGAGAAGACCTGAGTTCAAATCTGACCACAGACAACGATTAGCTGTGTGGGGCAAGTCACTTATATGTTGTTTGCCTCAGTTTCCTCATCTGTAAAATGAGAGTAATAATAGTTTTTACCTTGCAGGATTGTTGTGAGAATCAAGTGAAGTAATAATTGTAAGTCACTAGGCACTTAGTAAGTACTATATAAACGTCAGTTATTATTTTGATTAAGACAAGGATAATAGGAGCATCTACCATCCAGACTTTATTGTGAGGACCAAAGGAATTAATATTTGCAAAGCACTTAACGTGGTGCTAGCTCATGGTAGATGTTATATAAATGATGGTGGTTACTATTGTTATTTTTACTACTACTTGGGGAAGACCATCTCATTGTTGGATATTCCTGACAGTTAGAAAGAACCTTCTTATTCTGAATGAAAATCTGCTTCCTTATAACTTTCACTCATTATGTCCAATTCAGTCTGCTGCAGCAAAACAAAACAAGTTGACTTTTTCTTTCACATAGATAAGGAAATCTACCCACTCTTCCCTAAGTCTTCACTTCTCCAGGTAAATGGGTCAAAGTACTGGGCAGGTGTGGGCTGGAGCTGGCTTAGACCCTATCTCCAGAGCAAATTGTTAACTATTTGGTATGAACATTTATACCTGGGAAATCAGTAAATGTTACAAATCGGGGCTTAATCAATTTTTTTTGATTGTCTAGCTAGAGTCTAGACTTAAGATAGTATTGTAATAGAGAAAAATGTTCATAATGCTGATTAAATTTTTAAATTAGTTATATGTACGTTATTACCCTCCTCCCCAACCCTCCCCAAGAGAGCCAGGTGTTAAGCATTTACCAACACACTCCTAGTACTGGTCCAGCCTACATGGGCATCCTTTTTAGTACAATTGACTATAGGGTGTGACAAATTGTTGGGAAACAACAACAGAGTTCTTCAGCTCTTGGATTTGGAGTCAAGAAGCCTGGATTTGAGACCTAGCTCCTACCCTCATTGGTTACATAACCCTGGGCAACTCACTTAACCTCTGTGGACCTCAGTATCCTTATCTTCATAGTAGAAATGATGTTTATACCACATGAAGCAGATGGTGGTACATCAGATTGAAGTCAGGAAGACCTGAGTTCAAATCGGGCCTCAGAAACTTACTAGCTGTGTGACCCTAGGCAAGTCACTTAAAAAACAACAACCTCCATTTGCCTTAGTTTCCTCATCTGTAAAATGAGGATAACAATAGCACCTACCTTATGGGGTGGTCATGAGGATCAAATGAGGTAATATTTGTAAAAGCTCTTCGCACAGTTCCTGTTGCATAATGGACTTATTCCCTTCCCTTCCTTTATTTCCTTTCCTCCATCACCCTATCTCACACGGTTGACAAGAAAGTGGCTTGGGTATCTTAAAACACCATGGGCAATTATGCACCAAATCTTGTTTCTACCTCCATGTGTCTTGAATACATGTGCCTCTTTCTACTCACAGTTAACTTGTTGGTTCAAGCCTTTATTATCTCTCACCTGGACTAGTTGAAATAGTTTCCTAATTAAGTTTCCTAAAGCACAGGCCTTACTATGTCACCCCCTACTCAAATCCAGTGGTTCCCTATTAATTCTGGATCAACTATAATACTGTTTGGCATCTAAAGCTCTTCATTACCTAGTCCCCTCCTACATTTCTAGCCTTCTTGCGCATCATTTCCCTCTGTAATCTGTGTGGTCTAGGCACACTGGCCTTGTTGTTGCACATGACATTCCAGTTTCCATCCCTGTGTTTTTGGACTGGCTGCCTCCTGTGTCTGGGATGCTCTTTCTCCTTAATTCTGCCTCTCGGAATCCCTAGCTTCCTCCAAGATGCAGTTCAACTGCTATCTTCTTCAGGAGGCCTTTCCTGGTTCCCCCAGCTGCTAATGCCTTCCCTCTATGATTTCTGTACTTTCCATCTACTCTGTATCCATTTTGTATGTATATATTTATGTATTTGTTCTCTCCCCAAAAAACATTTAAGTTCCTTGAAGGCAGGGACTGTTTTTTTGCTTTTTCTTTGATAAACGGTGGCTGATTGTTTGACTATGTAAATGTGAGCTGTCTGCCTCAGTTTCCTCAATTGTAAAATGAAGATAACAATAGCACCTACATCCCACAGTTCTTGTGAAGAGCAAAGAAGTATAAAAATAATAAAAAAAGAATTAACAATATCTTATGTATGGGGCTGCTACACCATGAATTATAGGTGTCATATTTTAAGAAAGATATCAACAAGCGGGAATGTATCTAAAGGAGGGTGAGCAAGATAACGAGGGACCTAGAAATTTTCTTGTGAGGAAAAGTGGAAGAAACTTAGGATGTATGATAGCCCAGAGACAAAGAGACTTAGTAAGAAATCTGGAGAACTGTCATGTAGAAGAGGACAAGAATAGGAAGACTTGTTCACTGTTGCTCCATAGGACAAAAACCAACAGATGGAAATTGCAGAAAAGCTCATCGTGCAAGGAAGAGCTTCTTAACAATTAGAGATATCCATAAATGGAATGGACTGTCTTGTGTGGGTAATGAGTTCACCTTCATTGGAAGAAGTCAAGCAGAAGCTGGATGGATGACCATCTGTTAAGTGTGTTATAGGGGGTGCCAGAAGGTCTCCATTTATTTATATATTTATTTATCATTTATTCAATCAAATTTTTTGAGTGCTAGTTCCCCCTTCCTGGCCTCCCTCTCCAAATGTCTTTGTATTGCTAGGGAGTAGCCTAATGCCTAGCAAATAGTTCTGTTTTGCTTTCAGGCCAGACCCATCATTGATATAAGAAACTTTCTCTACCATTTCAGATTGCCACCTTCTCTGCTACTCTAAGTCTACAGAGAATTGCCTGGGGGTACTGAGGTTAAGTGACTTGTCTAGAGTCATGAGGAGGTGAGAATCAGTAAGAATCTAGACTAGAACCCTAGTCTTCCTAACTCCAGGTCTAGCTCTCTGTCCACTACACCAGACTGCCTCTGCCACGTTGTAATCACTTAATAAATGCTTGTTCACTGGCTGGCAGCTCTTGCAGATAGCTGCCAGGGAAAAAAGCAGTTGCTTGGTTTCTCAGTTCCTTGTTCCTACAGACTCCCCTCTGATAGCCCTGTGCTTAAGTTGGGGGAGAATGGAAAGGGCACAGAGTCTGGCTGCCCGCTTGTAACCATCCCTTCTCCTTTTTCTCCTCTTCCTCTTGACCTCTTTCTCTTTCTCTTTCTCCTCCCCCTCTTCCTCCTCTTCTTACTTCTCTTCCCCTCCTTCTCCTCCTGTTCCTCCCTCTCCCTTGCCCCCTACTACACTCCCTCCTCTCTTCCTCCTTCTTTTCTTCCCTTCCCCTTCCTCCTCCTTCTCCTCCTGCTTCTCCTCCTCTTTCTTCTCCTTTCCTTCCTCCCCCTCCTGACCTCCTCCTCTCCCTTTCCTCCTCCTTCTCCTTATCTTCCTCCCCTCTTCCTCTTCCTCTTCCTCCTCCTTCTCTTCTCAGTTGTGATCCAGGCCTGACAGTCTGCCATAAGCTCCTAGTTCAATACCCAAGTCCCACTGCAAACTGACAGGCTTGGTTCACCAATCCTGAGCTCAGAGCAGCTCTTTGCCCAGTACTGGGTAACAAAGACAACAGGCAGTGGGCTGATAGAGCCCTTCATCTTCAGCTCCTTGAATTCAAATGTCTCCTCCTCAAACCCTTCACTATCACTCCAGGAGGGGACTACAGCCTCTTCCCACTGGCCCAGCTTAACCTTGTTGCTTTTCTTTGTGCTAAGTCCTCAGTGAAGCTCTGTATCTGCTAAATTGCTAAATGCCATAATATTCAGGGAAAATAATCATTGCCCTCCCTTCAGGCACTCAAAAAGTCTTTTCTCCGATCCAACTCATCCTAATGCCCTTATGAATTGGTTAATTAATAGCTTACAAATGTCTTCAGGTCACAAAGCCCTTTCACATGCCTTATCTCATTTGTTCCTTGAAATAGCTCTGGGAGGGAGGTAAGGTAAATAGCTCTGTTGAGAATAACTGTGTGGTCTTGGGCAAGTTATTTAACCTCTCTGAGCCTCAGTTTCCTTATCTGTAAAATGAGAGGGTTGGACTAGCTGACCTCTAAGGTCCCTTCCAGCTCTAAATTTATGAACCCCACTTTATAGTGGAGGAAATTGCATAATCAAGATTGACACTAAGGTTAATGATGATGATGATGATGATGTTAATAGCTAGTATTTATATAATGCTGTAAGGATTGCAAAGCAAACCAATTGGATTGAAAAATAACTGTAACAATATTAAAAAGGAAAGTTCACTGACCACAATCAACTATGCCTTGGAACATATCTGCTAAAGATCCAGTCTAATCACCTCCTTTTCAGATGTGAAAACAGTTTCAGAGGTGAGATCATTTGCTTAAGTTCGTATAGTTGGTAGCAAAGCCAGCACTAGACTCTGCTCTCCCAATGTTCCGTTCACCATTCTTTTGCCTATCCCATAATACCTCGTTAGTATCTAGCTCTGTGCCTCAGTTTCTTCATCTGTAAGGTAAGGGAGCTGAATTTCATGATTTCTAAGTTCCCTTTCAGTTTGAGCGATATGGTATATGGGGGGAAAGGACTGGATCTGCAGTTGGGAGAGACAAGGGTTTGAATTCTGGCTCTGACAATCATTTGTTGACTGAACACAGGCAAGTTTCCTAAACTTTCTGAGCATCGGCTTTTTCGTAAGTGAAATGGTGATAATAATACCCATAATATATACCTCATGGACTTGTTAACATTAATTAAAAAATTTTTTGAGTTCCAAATTCTCTCCCTTCCACTGAGAAGGCAAGAAATAGTATACCCATTATATATGTGAAGTCATGCAAAACACATTTCCATACTTTTGGTACTCTTTAAAAATTTTTTTTAACACTCATTTTAAAAAATTTTTGCCCAGAGGCTTGTTGTGAGAATGTATTCAATGCCTTGTTAACACTTAGAACTCTAGATAAATGTTAGCCATTGTCTGACACTCCAGTCTCTAGGATTTGAAGGCAAGGAAGGTCTGAAAAGTGTAATTCCTCTCTTCCCAGAGGGCAGGTCCTGGGGAGTGGAGGGTGGGGAGGTCTGGAGGGGGCAGTGCAGTGTCATCAGAGATTGATGAAACCACAAACCAGAATACTGACATGTCACTGTCCACGGACATTGACAGTGAGGCTCACTGTTGTCTACTGATGTTGTAAGTAAGAACATGCTTATGTTTGGGAACTCATTCTTTTCCTCAATAAAGATACTGAAGTTTGCTGAGGCTCCCCACCTTACCTGCCCCATTCACTTTCAGCCTTGTAGAGGTCTAAGTGATCTAGCCAGGGGTGGGGAATGAAGTTTGGATTCAGTCAAAGGGCTGCACTTGAGGACATAGAGGGCCACAGGTGGCCTCGAGGCCCTGCTAGACATCCCATGGACTATATAGTTCCCTTTGATTAGTACATGCCTAACACGTGTTAGAGATCACAAATGCAAACCTGGAAAGTCCTGTCTTCCCTTTCTCACTTTGTTGGTTTCTTTACCAGCTCAGACATGCAGCAGTCAGCAGGGTTAGAGTCTGGACTTATGATTTCATTGGTAGACAACTCCCCAGTGAAGGAAGTTTCTCTACCAATGCAGGGTGCTACTTTCTCTGCAACTGATGATGATGATGATGATGATGATAGCAAACATTTATATAGCACTTACTATGTGCCAGGCACTGTACTAAGTGCTTTAAAATGATTATCTCATCTGATCCTCACAATAACATAGGGAGGTAGGTGCTATTATTTTCTCCATTTTACAGATAAGGAAAATGAGGCAAACAAAGTGAGTAGCCCAAGCTCACACAGCTAGTAAATGTCTGAGAATGCATCTAAACTCAGGTCTTCTTGACTCCAGGCTCAGAACTCTATCCACTGCACGGCCTAGCTGGCTAGGACATCTTAGAGAGCTGCCTAGGTCACTGAGAGGTTAAGTGATTTGCCTGACAGACAATACATTTCGGGAGCAGGACTCGAATCCAGAGCCAGCTCTCTTTCCATTGTGCCATGCCACCTCTCACGACGTCATTAATAGAAGGACTAAAACAAAAGTTTACCATTCTGATGAGCAGCCATGGCCGGTACTCGTACGTCATCATAAGACCTGCCGTCTGTGATGAGGATCATTAATTTTCTTTTATTGGGCTTGGAGTTTTTGAAGAGGTGTTCCAAGGCATAGTGGATTGCAGCCCCAGTGCTGGTCCCGCCACTCCAGTAATTGACCCTCTTGATGGCATTCAGGACATCTAGCTTGGTGCTGTACTTGTTAAACCCAAACTCCAACCGCTGCTCGTAGGTGTACTGCACAGCCCCGATGCGTGTATCTGTGTCTGAAATCTCAAACTCTTTGCTCAGGTTGGCAACAAACTGGAGGAGGGTGCGGAAGTTGCCTGTCCCTACGCTGCTGGAGCCGTCAATAACGAAGCCAATATCTGCTGAGTTTAAGCAGGTCTTGCTGCAGGCTAGGCGGTTGGTGTCACAGACCCGTTTCACCAGGGGCTGCACAATCTTGTGGAGGCTGAACCAGCTCAGCACATTGAGGGAATAGAAACCATTTTGTCTGCAGACAGCCTGGAAAGACATACAAAGATGCTCATGACCTCAAATGACACTAGGCCAGGAGCCAAACTTCTTTGGGCACCAGGAAAGATCTTCCATCTCCCGTCTTTCCCTTCTACACTTTTTCCTTTAGCCTCTTTGTTTGCTGGCACCACCACCCCTCCCCAGCATCATGAACTTCTTACTCTACCAGGCTCCTACTCTCCCCTGGCTATCCACTATAGTATATGAGCAGTGATTCAGTCTCCAAAAATATGTCCCTATCTCTTCCAACCAAAATGCCTAATTCTTCATCAATCTTAATCCCAGCGGCCTTAAGCAAGTCCTCTCTGAGGTTCAGTCTCCCATCTATGTAACTCCCATCCCAAAGCTCATCAGTATGGGACTCTTTCTTTATGGGTAGAGATGAATGTCCTACCCTGTGGCTGGGCAGAGTTGGTGAGAGAGTGGGAGAGCTCCAACTTTCACCAATCCCCTTCAGGACTCTTAAAGCCTCAAATGTTCTTCAGGACTCTTTTAAGTTTATTTGGGTACTTCTGGCTTCCTGCTTCAAGAGAGAAAATGGAAGAGGCCAACCCTACTTCAGGTTGCTGAAGACTCTGGAAAAACATGAGAGGAGCTGGCAGTCTCCATCATGTCCCTACCTCCAGGTTGCTATGCTAGAGACTTCATGGAGTTTTTCCCTTGGATGGGATCTAAAACTTTTTCTCTTGGTTGAGCTGAGTTATTTCACTCCCAATGAGAGAGTCCCTTCACTTCCTAGGTATGCCTTCCCTGGTTTCTGTTTTACTATAATTTGGATAAACGGGTTTCTTTGCTATTCACCCTTTGTGTTCATTATGGAACAGTTATTTGGTGGGAAAAGGGTCAGACCTTGGATATAGAGCTTGGGGTTCTCCCCCCCCCCACAATGATGACAAAGAGATCAAGAGTTAGATTGAACCCTATCATATCCTTCCAGACTAATGTTATTTAAGGGAGTAGATAGAGAAAATTCTAGCCTGGTCCTCCCACTTTGATTCCTGCCAGGAGGAGAAACAGGAAGTAAGGGGTCAGAGGCCACTTTGTTCTCTTCAGAAAGAGGGAATACCAAGGTAGAACTTTATCTAGCTTCTCCTTTAAATATTATTAGCCTAAGGGGATATGATAGTGTTTAATTTAACTTCTGGTCTCTTTGTCTCATTGGGAGAAGGAAGTTTCCAAATTCTATATCCAAGGCTTGACCCTTTCCCACCAAATAGCAGTTCCACAAGGAACACAAATGGTGAATGGCAAAGAAACCTGTTTATCCAAATCTTAGCAAAACAGAAACCAGAGAAGATATACATGAGAAAATATAAATCGGACAATGAAGAGTAAAGGATCTCTCCCATTGGTACAGAGATAAGAGTTCTAGATCTCACCTAGAGGAAAAACTCCAGGAAATCTCTAGTGTAGCAAGCTGGGGTTAGGGACATGATGGAGACTGTCAGTTCTTCTTATGCTTTCTAAGAGTCTTTTCCTTTAGCAACCTGAAGTAGAGTTGACCTCTTCCATCTTCCCCTTTGAAGTGGGAAGCCAAAAGTACCTGAAGCAACTTGCCAATTGAAGAGTCCTGAAGGAGACTTGAAGCTTGAAGAGCCTGAAGGGAATTGGTGAGTTCCAGAACCTGGGCAGGGCATTCATCCTTATCAAGAAGGAGAAAATTCCATACCCATGGGCTTTGGGACTGGGGTTACATCTATAATATAAGTAAAATACTGCCCAAATTTTTTTTGTGAGCACCAATTTCATTCATTTGCATAAAGTACTTTGTAATGGTAAAGTACTACATAAGTGTGAGCTATCAAGATGTTATGGAGGAATGCTATCTAAGAAACATTCTTCTGAAGGAACATTTCTTCCTGATCCATATGAGGGTCAGTGGGAGACTTAGCTAGCCTATTCATAATTTCATTAAATATAAATCTCTTTGGAGATTTATTTGGAACTTACCCTAACAGGTAATATGTGAGGATTGTGTGTTGGAGGGGAAAAAGTAGTGACCATAGAGTTGGAAGATCTGGTTTTGAATCCAAGTTCTGACACTAAAAATTTTGTGACTGTGGGTAAGCCATCAATCTGCCTGAGCATTTGTTTTCTTCCATTCATCTATTCATCTTCTATTTCATCTATTTTCTTCTATGGGGACTATTGCCTCATTGCACTATTTGCCTTAGATCAAGATTACTGCAATGGCCTCCTAATTGGCCTCTCTGCCTTAGATCTCTCCCCACTGCAATCTATCCTATACATAGCTGCTGGTGCTATTACTTAAAGCACAAGACTAAACATGTCACTTCCTTGCTGAGTACCTTCTTGCCTCTTGGATAAAATATAGAGTATTCTGGTAGGCATTTTAAGCCTTTCATAATTTGGTTTCAGTTTACTTTTCCAAATATATTTCATATTACTTTCCTTCAAATGCTCTATATTGTAGCCAAAATGGCCTACGTGCTGCTCCTTGAAAAAGACATCTTATCTGCATGCTCCATGTCTCTGCACAGGCTGTCTCCCATGCCAAGAATCCACTCCCTCCTCACCTCCATCTCATACATACTTAGAATTTACTTTGATGTGGGGGGGCTCTTTTCCTCTATAATCCATTAATTCCCATAAGGCAGGATTGTTTGTTTTTGTCTTTGTATTCCTAGAACTTAAAGTAGGGCCTGGCACATAGTAAGTGCTTAATAAATAATAGTAATAGCTACTGCTTCAACACTTGCAAATTGCTTTATGTGTTACTTCATTTGATACTTACAACAGTCTTGGGAGCTATTTTTATCCCCATTTTGAAGATGTGAAATGGAAGCTGAGAGACTTATTTAAGGTTAGTTACATAACTGGTGTCTAAGTCAGGATTTGAATTCAGATCTTCCTGGCACTAAGTCCAACCCTCTATCCATTGTGCCACCCAGCTGCCCTTAGTTGCTTGAATGATGAAAATGCTATACAAATGCAAACTATGATTAACAATGATAAAAAACTCATGTATGTATGTATTTCTTTACCAACATAATTTTCACCTAAGGTACATTTGTTTTATTGGTGCACACCTTCTTTAGATCTTGCTGCCCATTATATGGAAGACATTGTGTGCGCTGGGGTGTGTATCCCCCAGAGAGGCCTTGATCTCAATAGAGAGTCTAGGTGTCCATATGTGGACATTCCCCTTTGGCCTCTCTGCTCCATTCTATTCCAACTAAGGAGTATTTTTCCATATATGAAATGTTTATGAGTTGACTACTTTGTAGGAGGTCTGCAGTACTAGGGGAGTTCCCCATAACTTCCTTAGAAGACAGAATTGTCAGAGTTTCATCTGGTTCAAAATACATGCCCCAAGAACTGAAACAAAATGCTAAGCCCCATTGTTCCTGTTGGAAGTACACAAGTGCATGGGAAATTTAGATTTATTTTCTGGGCAAATACCTTGTTCACGAAGTTGGGTTCTATCACATTCTGCTTCTCATTTTCAACAGCACCTTCAATGGTGATGAAAAAAATGTTGATTCCGGATTCTCTGGCGAGTCTTGAGGCCTCCTCCACCTTGTCTGTGGGCCAACCATCCACCATCACTATGGCCACATTGGGGGCTCCCCCTCTGTTTCCATTGGCATTGGAAAAGAAGTTTTTGGTAACAAAAGAAAGTGCCCGCCCTGTAATAATTATAATAACAATAATCATGATGATGATGATAACTGACATGTATACAGTGTTTCTATGTGTCAGGCATTGTGCTAAGTGCTTTATAATTATTATCTCATATAAGGAAGCAGTGGTTTGTATAAAGTACTTTCATAAGCAGTAATCAAACAAGCATGACATAATGCATAGAAAGCTTGGCTTGGATCAGGAATACCAGGGTTTAAATTCTATCTCTGATGCTAACTAGCTGTATAACTCTGGGTAAATCATTTTATTGTGAATCTAAGCAACTCTCTAGGAAGTTGATTTGTGACAAGCAGTGGCATTGCCCTACTGACAACACTGCAGATCCTTAATGTATCCAAGTAACCGGATCATAACTTACTAATTTGGAATTAATAGAGAAGTAGTGGCAGGAGAGGCCCTGGCAGAACTAACAACTATTTGGAAAGTTGCTTCCCATCTCTAGGCCTTAGTTTGCTCATTAGTAGAATGAAAAGTTTGGATTAGCTTCCTAAAGTTCCCTCTAGCTGACATTCTATGATTCTAGGTCCATTAAAACCCAATTGATGAGGATCCAACTAGCTGGGGAATCTTTCTCCTGGCTCTTAAATCATAGGCTGTAAAATTTAGAAGGATCCATTGAGATGACTTATCTCAGCTTCCTCACCTAACAAATGAGGACACTGAGACCCAAGGCAGTAAAAAGACTTGTCCAAAGTCCCACAGCAAGTTAGTGACAAGACCAGGGCCTCAAATCCAAGCCTCCTGACTTCAAGTCTTCATACTCTTCCAGACTATCTCTTTTCTCCCAGCCTGTGTCCAAATTGTCACAAATATGGAATTACTGAAGTTGTAGTGAATGAGATTTCCCTGTAGTTATAAAAATTTATTGGTACCAGAATATTCACCTGGTGCCTTCCCATGAGGTAAACTCAGAGTAAGATGTGGGACCTAGAATCATCCCAGGACAATAAGGGCAGAGGGTAGTCAGTGGATAGAATGGTGAAAGGATTAAGTTTGTTGGGGACAAACACTGCTAAACTTTTAAAACAATCAGAGACTGAAACAAAAATACCCAATCTCAAATCCTTTCTTCTCCTGAAGATCATCACCCTGGGTGGAACTGGGGGATGCATGATCCCTACAGAATAGACACTGAAATGACCCATGCATTGGTCCACTGAAGTAGTGGTCAAAATTTAGAATTAAAGGAGATATATTTGGATGAATGATGGGGGCAGGAAAGGAGTGATTCCTTTATGGATTACTATTCCATCCTCCCACCTGAGCCTCTTCCTTACCTCCATCATCTCCTAAACAGAAAAGCATGAGGAAACTGAAGAGAAAAATCTCTTTTGTAACTAGAAAGTTACAATTACACTAACCATAGACCACATACCCACATTGGAAAGCCCGCCTTTCTGGGAAATTTTCTCTATGGCTGCCTTCAGATCCCTGGAATCCGAATGAGTCTTGAGGTTAAATTCCATGGAAGGGTTGTCTCTGTGTTAGAGCAAGAAACAAAACTTAGTAGGAAAATGTGCTTCCGCTGGAGAAACTGAACAGTGCCTTTGATGGAAAAGGGAAATGAGAAATTATTTCAGACTCATGAGCACACAGAGTAAGTAGAAGCTACTTAAAACCACTGGCAGCCATTAAATTATGGTTTGGTCTAACAGGAATTCATTTAACTCTTATTATATGCAAGGCACAATAGATTACAAAGGTCATGATTCTATAATACATCCTACTATTCAGTTAAACAAACTTTTGGTGCCTACTAGGTTCAAGGCATTGGAAATATAAAGGGACTCATGGCACTCACCCTGAATGTTTATTTCAAATCTGGCCCTCTCATACTAGAAGTATACTCTGCCACTGCAAACCTTTGCTCTGATTGATCAGTTCCTCCCAGAACCTCCATTTTTAAGGAAAGTACCTAGGCCAGCCATGTCTTTATTCTTTTTCCCTGTCCATCGCTGACCCTCTAGATATTCTCTACTATACCTTCTCTGCCCTCTCTCCTTAACGCTCTGTCCTGTCTAACCCCCCATTTCTTTTAACTTTCAGATTCCTTTTATATATTATCTTCCCCTATTAGAATGTAAGCTCTTTGAGAGAAGGGACTGTCTTTATTTCAGCATGTATTTATATTCCCAGCCCTTAGCACAATATCTGGCACACAATATATGTTTAATAAATACTTCTTGACTTAATTTGACTTCTTATAACACTTTTTACTGCTCAATTAAAAAAAAATTAAGTGCCTGTTATGTACTAGGCCCAGGGATTATAAAGTTGATGGTGATTCTTATAATACATTCTATTGCTTCATTCAATTTTACAAACAGTGATTACGCACTTCCTATATGAAAGGCATCTTGCTGGGAAAGAATGAAAGACTTCCTGCCCTTATGAAACCTGTGTTTTACTGTGACAGGGTGAGGTGGGAAATGATATGCACATAAATAAGTATAACACAAGGCAACTTGATCTGGGAGAGAATGTTAACAATTATGGAATCACAGGCTTCTCAGAGGTTGGCACCTAAATTGAGCCTTGATGGAAGTCCAGGTCTCTGAGAAGTAGAGATGGAAACAGAATAGAAGATATACCTTGACATAGCCAAGACAGTTATCATGGCCCCTGTAAGTCTTCTGTTCTCCAGGCTACATATTTGCATTTCATAGGTTCATAGATTCAAAAGTGGAAAGGACCTCAGAGGTCATAATCCAATCCCTTTATTTTATAGATGAAAAAAATTGAGGCCAGGAAAGTGAAGTGACTCTGACCAAGGTCACATAGTAAGTAGAAAAGTTGGAACTTTAATATATTCAAATCCTGCATCCTCTCTGCTGTACCACTATGGTTTCCCATGATTGTCCTGTGAAATGCTACTCCTAAGACTTAGCACATCTTCCAGTAAGCTTTCACCAATTTTCTAAGTGAATCTTCTGGGTCTGTTATTATTTCATGAATCAGAGCAGTTTAGGGATGGCAAAAAAGATTAAATGTTTCACAGGGGAGTGGGGTCTTCCTGAGGTACATCTGTTTGGTTTCCCAACTGCTTTAAGTGATCATCACATGGCATGAGCTTGGCTCTTGGCTATCTTAGTCACTTTCCTCTGTATGCTCCCCAGCTTGTCAATGTCCTTCCAAAAGTATGGCTCCCAGACCTGCTTACAATGTTCCAAATATGTTCTGGCCAAGGCAGAGCTCAGCAGAATTAAATGCCTGAATTAATGAAAAAGCATTTGTCAAATGCTTACTATATGCAAAGAGCTGTGCTAAGAGGAAAAAAAATAGAAAAAAGATGCAAATAGAAAAGCCAGATAGTTCCTTTTCTTAAGGAGCTCACATTCTAATAGGGGAAGACAAGGATATAGAAGGGTTCATCATCAGGGCACATAGGAAGGCTCAGTAGAACACAGGGTGTTGGCAGCAAGGCATATGGCAATGCTTGTTTCGTGCCATTTCTATGGATAAAACCATTTCTTTTCTAATGTTGAACTATTCCGCAGTGCCAAGGCCTTCAGTAGTGAAACGTTTCTTTTCTGTGTCTCTGGTAGCTTATCAGAGGATTATCACCATAGAAACAGGTGAGAACATTGTGGGGTGACCCTTTACAGAGATTGCTGGGAATAGAGGTCAGAGATGAATGGGGTGCAGGCACTTTTGTCTTCAGTTTCTCCCAGTTCTCAATGGTTTCTGAGGGTATGAGAAAGTTCCCTCGGTTGGGATTGGGAGAGAAGTTATGGCCTTGAGGGAGCACTGGATTGCTAGAATGGCAAGGCAGCTAATCCTAAGAGACTGTAGTCAGAGAGATTTAGGATGGTCATGCAAAGAGCATGCGTCCACATGAGAACTGACCTTGCACGGGAGCGCAATGGTGAGAGGAAGATGGCTAGGGTGATTGTAGCATAGCACATCAAGACGAGGACCTTTTGTGAGGCAGGACAATGATTTCAGCAAAGACAATGGATGTGTGTTAATGAGGAGCTTCATTCTAGCCTGCAGAAGAAAGCTCTCCCTTTCTCATTTGGTTCTTATTCAACTTCTCCCTGGCCTCACAGTTCCTGGGAAGAAGTGCTGTCTGCCCTCTTAGTGGCTGACTAAGGTGTTCGGAATCTTAAAACTATATTTTGCCTTAATTCCTTTACCTTTAAAACCATGGTTAATTATGCATACAAGTACTTGGATGTAGGATTAAGGGGTGGCTAATTGGGAAACCTGAAAGGGACTGAGACTTTACTGTTTTGCTGATATCAGCTAGTTGGAGGTTTGCATTCTAAGGGAAAGAGAGAATTTATTGATTTTTTAACAATTTCTCATTGCATTCACTGGGGTGATTCCCCTAGGATTAAAGACAGTCAGTAATTGCTTCAGTTAGTGACTAGCTGGGATGAAATAGGCAAAATTCCTTTGGCTGTTCTGCTGAGTATGAAAGAAAATTATATCCCCCAGAAGGGAGTAGTTGGAAAGTCACATCCCAAGGGAGGAGTGAGTCCAGGGGAAGGAGGGAATAAAGTGACTTCACACCTCTTCACCAGCTAGCCCATCCACCCAGTATTATTTGTGAAGTATGTGAAGGAATATGTTAAATCTTATCTGAGTTGTCTAGGAATAGAAGAGTCAGACTGATTGATACCTTAGAGTGATTGACACTTTACAGTGATCGACACCTTTGCTCACTGTTACCATTCAGTGGTAGTAGAAAAAGGGAATGAACAATTTCTAACCAAAAAAAAAAATCTCCCTTGAGATTACCTTAAATGCACAGTTTCCAGAAGGGCTACTAATAACTAGAAACTCAAGCAATATGGTTGTAAAGGGAATTGATGTGATGACTCACAGAGTATGTGCTATGTTTATTTTATGCATGAGTTGGCTGCCTCAAACACAAGACCACTTCCCCAGCAGTAAGGAAGGTGAAAATTTGTATGGACTGTTCTCTCTATTCTATAGCTTACTAGGGACAATAAAGTGATGGAGTCACGGAAAGTCCAAGTTGGATGAAAATTTAATGATTGTTTAATAAACCTTTTCATTTTAGAGATGAGGGCAGGATGATATGATGTAAAGAATGTTAGACTTTGGACTTGGGCTTAAATTCCATGTCTGTCATATATTACCTATGCAGTTATGGGCATACCACTTAACCTCTCTGGGCCTCAATTTCCTCATCAGCAAAGTGGGAGGAGGTTGGAGAGCATTGCCTCTAAGGTCATTTTATGTCCATGATCAGATTGAAGACTGAAGAAATGCATCAAGAAACGATGCTTATTCATCTTTAGGTGACACAAGGGACAGCTAATAGCATAGGAAATAATAAAGATTCAAAATGATCACATGCATTCACAGAGCTAAAAAGGCCTTTAGAGATCATCTTTCAGTCTCCTCATTTGACAAGTGAAAGAGCTGAAACCCAGAAAGGTTATTTAATTTTCCCTAAGGTCATACAACTAGTTAGGGACAAAATGAAACTAGGCCATCAGTCTCTTAGTCCACTGTTCTTTCCACTTTGCAAGTTGTCATTCATAAAATAGAACTATGAATTGATGAAATTAAATAGGGAAATTTAAACTTCCACAATTAGTTTTAGTTAGGACCATTTGAACAACTACAGAATTGGGACCATTTTAGTAGGCTGCTAGCTGTTCCTGTGACTGTGAGCTCCTTGAAAGTACAGACTGTCTTTTGCCTTTCTTTGTATCTCCAGCACTTAACACAGTGCCTGCACACTCATTCCTTCTTACCTCCCCCTTTTTTCCCCTCCACTGTAAAAGCTTTTTCTTACCTCTTTTATGGGAGATAATTTACCCCATTCTACCTCTCCCTTTCTCCTTCTTCCAGTACATTCCTCTCTCACCCCTTAATTTTCTTTTTTTTAGATATCATCCCTTCATATTCAACTCACCCAAAGCCCTCTGTCTTTATATATTCCCTCCAACTACCCTAATAATGAGAAAAGTCTTATGAGTTAAAAATATCATCTTTCCATGCAGGAATGTAAACAGTTCAACTTAATAAATCCCTTATGAGTTCTCTTTCCTATTTACCTTTTCATGCTTCTCTTGAGTCTTGTATTTGAAAGTTAATTTTTCTGTTTAGCTCTGGCTTTTCAAGAATGCATTAAATTCCTCTATGTCACTAAATATCAATTTTTTCCCCTCATTGATTACACTCAGTTTTGCTGGGTAGGTGATTCTTGGTTTTAATCCTAGCTCTTTTGACCTCTGGAATATCATATTCCAAGCCCTCTGATCCCTTAATTTAGAAGCTGTTAAATATTGTGTTATCCTGATTGTGTTTCCACAATACTTGAATTGTTTCTTTCTAGCTGTTTGCAATACTTTCTTCTTAAGCTGGGAACTTTGGAATTTGGCTATAATATTCCCGGGAGCTTTCCTTTTGGGATCTCTTTCAGGAGGTGATCAGTGGATTCTTTCCATTTCTATCTTACCCTCTGGTTTGAAAATATCAGGGCAGTTTTCCTTGATAAT